TCTGTTAATGGGTGTCGTTGCTGATATCCAGCTCCCCCATTTTCCACGGCTGCGTCAACGAGCGCCTGGCCGATCGCACGCCCTCCCCCACCTTCTCCACGGCCGACTCGGACATCACGGAGCTGGCTGATGAGCAGCAGGATGAGATGGAGGACTTTGATGATGAGGCCTTTGTGGATGACACTGGCTCCGACGTGGGAACTGAGGAGGGATCAGAGCTCTTCAATGATGGGCGYGACCCGTTTTACGACCGATCCCCTTGGTTCATTTTAGTGGGAAGGTTGGTGAGGTTCCTCTGAGAATGGCCAAAAGGGACCAGCTCTTGCTGTAAACTGCAATGGCTTTGCCTTGTGCTACACAGATGGTCAGTCTGGCCAAAATGTCATGGCTGTCAATTGAAATTGCCAGAGATGAGTGTAGTTCAACATTTTAAATTCCCATGTCTGGKGCCATGAAGATTAAATAATAATTGAGAAATAACTCTTAGAAGGAACAAAAGAAAAGGGGCCAGAGCTTGGCTTTATCCTTCTCTGTGAATGGAAGCAGGAAAGACTTCAGGGTTGGGATGCTGGGGTCTTTATGCAGTTTCTTCAAATGCAGGACACTTGTTTGCTTTACTTAGGAAAAGGAGGGATTGAGTTTGCTGATCTTTATCAAGCTCTGATTTCAGTGTAGTGTGTTTGTCTAACCTCAGGCTTTGTCTGTAGTGAAACTTGGCACTTCCTTGATCTAGTTTTTGAAACAAAAATTACTGAAGTTGCGAGAAATTGCATTAGTCCTCTGTGATCTCTGCATTTGTGCCGTTTGTGCAATGCCTGGTAACGTGTTGTACAGAATTCGATGCTCTGGTTCAGAGGTGGGGAGTTCAGAGGTGGCAGTTTGGGAAATCCATCTGTGCTGCTTTGGGCTGCTGTCAGCCCCTGTGAGCCTGGGGCTGCTCTGTGTCCTGTTCCTGCTAAGCTTGGGAATGAGCTGAGCTCTTCATCCCATCACAAACACCTCAGGCAGCACAGGCCAAGCTGAGCAGATGCACAGCTGTAATGGAACACTTGTGCTTGCTGGCAGGCACAATTTGCTTCCCATGCCTGGGTGGGGAGGGTTCCAAGCTCTGTCCCTGTGGACACACACAGGGAGTTACAGCACTGGCCTGAGCGGTGTGAGCTCATGTATGGAGCTGTCACCTGTTGAGGATGGAAACTTTGTCCCTGTCYCGAGGGTGTTCTCAGTTGTTGGTTTCTGTTCTTCTGTTGTGCCTGCTCTGCCAGCAGGAGCTGTCAGATTGTGTAGCACCACTGAGTAGGAACCGTTGTGATTGTCCAGTGTAGCACCACCGAGTAGGAACTATTGTGGTTGTCCTGTGTAGCACCACTGAGGAGGAATTGTTGTGATTGTCCAGTGTAGCACCACCGAGTAGGAACTATTGTGGTTGTCCTGTGTAGCACCACTGAGGAGGAACCATCGTGATTGTCCTCCAGTGTGAGAATCCTGCTTTTGAACAGGGACTCACAAGTACCAGGGCTGTGTCCATCTACACAGATATTGTCCAGAGCACAACGAATAAAACCATTTTTAGTGTTTTTTGGGGATTGTCAGCAATAACAGCACAGGTCATGAAGGAGACAAGGAGGAGAAATGGATCCTGTAGTTATCCAGCTCCCTGGCCATCACAAATACTTTCTTTTCTCTCTCCGTACTATGACTGTCTTTTATTTTAACTCTTAAAGAAAAGAAAAAAGAGCTGATCCCTTTAGCCATCTCTCGTGGCATGCTGGGTTTCTTTAAGGCTGAATCTGTTTAATGGTGTGACATATCAAGCATTTGCTTTGTTTTTAAGGGAGGTGGGAGAGGACTATGGGATATTTCATTTAAATCCTGATGTGTTTATTTTAAAAATACCCGCCATCATTCTGARTTCYGTTGTTTTTGTTTTGTTTTGTTTTTTAAATTGTGTTGTTAAATTTAATTTCTAGTTTTGTTGAGTATGCCATTTTACCTCACCAATCTTTCTGCTAATCCAGCTCCCCTCTTTCAGTCTGCTGGGCTAAGTGCAGGGGGACCTTAGGGGCTGTTTGGGATCCTCACGGATGTGGAAAGAGGAGGAGGATCACCCTGAGATTTCATCCACTCCAGACTGGGCACTGTCTGATGCTGAGGCAGATGGAATGGCACTGGAAGCTGYRGTGCTGCATAAACCAGCTCTGTTTTGTACAGCACATCTGCACTTCTCTCCACCCTACGGAAGAGATGCGGCATTTTCATCAGCAAACAGGAAGCTTCAAACATTTTTCATGATGTGCTTTTCTTTCTCTAAGTTAAAATGATTCYGGTGAACAAGGTGACTGGATGGAAGCAAATTAAGGAAGAAGATAAATACATTTTTTTTCTTGGGATGGTCACATGGCAGTGGTTAATCCAGCTGAATGCTTTGGCTGTCACATACTGAGCAGCAGCTTCAAAACTTTGATCCTGCAGATGAAGATATATTTTTATTTTTCATGCAGGTCATGCCTTCACTTTCCATTAGTTTGGCTTTAAAGTGGGAAGGCTTCTGCAGTGCCTCACTTTTAGTTAGTGAGACCCTACTGTGTGCATCAAGGGCTCTCTGAATTCTGTTCTGCTGGGAAATGTCCATTCTCCCTGGCTGGAATGTGCTGTTCAAACTGGGAGTGKTTTTGTGTTGAGCACAGAACCACATTCCTGAACTGCATCCCTGAGCCAGTCCACGGGAGCAGTTCCTGTCTGAGGGGCTCTTTGTGTGGCTGATGAGCATCACCTGAGATTTCAAAGCTCAAAATGAAATGTTATGTTAGAGACAAAAAACAAATTCAGCTTCTCATTTGTCACTTGGAATCTGTTCTCCCTTCCCTGCTTTATCGGTGCTTCCCTCACTTTGGAGCAGACTGAAAAGGAATGAAATCCCATCTTAGTGAACTGTTATGTTGCAGTTGGTTTTTTGTTGTTGTATGGTTTTCTTCATTTTTTGTTTAGCTACTTTTATAGCTGTATTAATCATCCTCTTTTCTATTGCATTTTGTCACCACTTTATTTTAGTAGCATTATTTTTGTGTCTTTGGTTCATTACTGACACCTGTTTGACTTCCTCATCATTTCMAAAGAATTCATTCATCCTTGGAACAGCCATGTCAGCCTAAGGAGCAACATTTCCTTTTGACAACAGGATTGTTAAACAATAGCAGTTATAGATTACAGGAATCAATTATACACAATACTAAAGACTAATAAAAAGAACTGTAAGGAGGAAATTAGGTAAACAAATTACTGTTGTTTAGTATAATTCAATGTGCATAAATTTATTAAAATTACATAATTAGTCACTTTAAATGTAAAGACTGATAAAACTATTGGTTAAAGATCTGTGCATCTCAGTACTCTTCTGAGCTCTGAAACAGCTCACTTAGTAAATAAAAGCTTCCCTATTTCCCCTTTTTGAGAGCTGTTCTTTAGCTGGCCTGTTGCACTTCTCAACATTTAATGTTYTGCTCAAGCTAATCCTGCTGAAATGTGACACTTTATAAACTACTGCAATTCATTGCAGAAGCATGCAATAACTTAATAACTTTAGTCTGACTTTTAATTAAGAMCTATACAATTAAATTGGTTACCTTACTATTTCAAAATAGACCCTCGTGGTATAAAACTTTCAAAGTTTGTGTAAGGCAGGATCATCCACTACAGGGCCTAAATGCTTTTCCTTTTGTAAGCTGTAAATTTTAAGTGGTTGCTCTAGAGTACTGCTGTGCTGTTTCATTTGTTTTGTTTTGTTTTTTAAAGAAATAAAATGCTCCTGAAGAAATTTATCTGTGAAGACTTTACAGTCTTCCACTGTCTGTACATTCAGTCAATCTCCTAAGAAACCTAAGTGATGACTTTTGGTTTATTGTGGGTTTCTGATTATTCTGCACAGTCTTACCAACAAATATAGAAGAGAARAACATTCAATCTGTTTTTAAGAGTGTTTTTATGTGTTCAGTGCAAGTTTGAGGCTGTGTGAGCACAGTATATTAACTCCCTTTTAATTTATCATTTAAAATTACTTCATTGTTAATAATCATAGTTCCCAGGTAGATTGTGTCAGCTTCCAGCTAACAGCTCCATCCTTCACACCATGGTGCATCTCCATGCAGCATCCTCTGACACGGTGTCCCTCTGTCTGTCACTCCCTGGTGAGCCCAGTGTCCCCTGAGCTCTGCTCAGGGCGTTTGGGGGCTGCACTTGGCTTGGCCAGAGCCTGTGGGGGAGGATGGAGCTCTGAGATGGACAGAGTGGACAGTGTGACACTGGTGTGCCATTGGTGTGACACTGATCTGCCATTGGTGTGCCATTGGTGTGACACTGGTGTGACATTGTCTGCCATGGGGCACTGCCAGGGGCACTGCCATTGGTGTGCCATTGGTGCGACATTGCTCTGCCATTGCTCTGCCATGGGGCACTGCCAGGGCCGAGCACTCGCTGCAGTGGCTTTGGCACAGTTCTAACCCTGCCTGTGTTTGTCTCCTGTCCCAGGGCGTTCGTGTACCTGAGCAATCTGCTGTACCCCGTGCCCCTGATCCACAGGGTGGCCGTTGTCAGCGAGAAGGGCGAGGTGCGGGGGTTTCTGCGCGTGGCTGTGCAGGCCATTGCAGGTGAGAGATTGGCACCAGCACTGCTGAGAGTTCACTGTCATGGGCAAACGTGGGGACTGCTCATGCTGTGAGAACAGGGGATCTCTGCTGCTCCTGAAATGATCTCATTCTTTATGTCACTACGTGGGCCGAGCATAAATCACTCTTGTAATAATGCTACTGRTCAAAAGATTTCAAAATGATCATGATGTTGACCACTGTAGTTTGCAGTTGGAAACGAATGCAACACTGCTCTTTAGAACAATGGAAGATCTAAGTCAGTAAGTCTCAAAACTAAATCTAAAGCAAATAATTTCTTTCTGGCACTCAGTATAAACAGAGGACAAGGGTACATGCTTTGCTAGTTGTGGTGACCTACATTAAAATTAAACAAACTGAGTTTTAGCTCCTCCAGGGTCTGGTGAGAGCATGTGAAGAAGTTCCTGAACTGATGGTTTTAGATTTTCATTTATCTCAGTATAATATCAGAAGTAAATAGATAATGAAAATTGCTACTAAAGTTGGTTTGCATTCAAAATTCTCCTAAGTATATTCAGAATGAAACTTCATGGCTTGTCTTGTTTTCCCACACTTGAGTTCCTGATAAATAGGTTTCTGACTTGATCTTTTCCAGCTTGTAAGTGCTTTCCATTTTGGTTTCCATTATAATGAGAATTTCCATTTAGATAACTCCATGGGATCTCCCCTCTCCTCCCCAYTATTTATTTATCTTCTTTTTTCCATGTTTTTTTAGCTGATGAAGAAGCCCCAGATTATGGATCTGGTATTCGACAGTCTGGCACAGCTAAAATTTCATTTGACAATGARTATTTTGATAAGGTAAGAATTCTTCAAATTGAGTTAGAGCTGTTTGAGGGTAGTAGCTCATGCTTCTGAATAAAGAGCACGTGTTGTAGGGAAAGAAGGGGGTGGCAAAGCCAGAAATTSCAGGAGTCTGTTCCAAGCTGCTTCATTGCATTTTTCAGAGTGACTTTTCTTCAGTTGCAATGACTCGGTCTGGGCTGTCACTGGAGGAATTGAGAATTGTGGAAGGACAAGGACAGAATTCAGAGGTTACCACTCCTCCAGAGGAGATCAACAGAATGAATGAGCTGGGTAAGCAAGAAATATATAAAGTTTTTGAGAACTTATGGGAAATTCAGGACATTGTCAGTCACAGAAAGGGGTTCTGAGTGTCCTTCAAGGATATGGGAGAGGTGTTACCAATGGGTTGAATATGAGAGATCCTGGACTTTATAATTTGGAGAACTATGCTGAAAAACTGTTCTCAGGTATTTGGATCTTTTGGTTATCAGCAAATTATTTGGGCTTGAAAGGGAAGCAAAGGTTTTATGGGGCTAAACAGTCTCCTGAAGAGATATTTTAAGAAAAGAAAGGAGAAAAAAAAAAAAAAGGAAAAAATGATTTCATGTGGGATGTTTTTTTTTCTCGCTAAGACTTGAAGTCAGCCACTTTGGATGGGAAGATGACAATGGAAGGGTTCACTGAGGAGATTGGGGATCACCTGAAGCTGGGCAGTGTGTTCACATTCCGGGTGACCGTGCTCCAGGCCAGTGGCATCCTGCCCGAGTATGCAGACATCTTCTGCCAGTTCAAGTAAGAATTTGTGCTCCCTTGCATTAGACAAGGAATGGTTTGATAGAGAGAGCAAAGAATAGTGGACAGTGGAACTCTGAGAGCTTTTCAGCTGGATGGAGGTGTGGCACAGCAGAGAAAAACACCTCCAATCACTTAATGGAATTCCTGGTCCCTTTCTCTTAAGCAGGTATAAGGAATAAAGTTTTGCAGAAAGGAAATTAGGAATCAAAGTGGACTCATAAGCTGCTAGTTGATAGATGTCTTAGGGTTTAAAGCCTGTAATGTGAAAAGTTCAATACTATATTGTACATAAGTCCTTTTAAATGAAAACTGCATGACCCTTGARGAAATTGGGCCTTCTCAAGTGAAAGTGGTCTTGGGCTCCTGGGGAAGAGAACAACAGGGAATAATAAAAACATAAAACAAGTACAGAAATAGTGCTCCCACAAGACTGTGGTATTCCCAGCTTTAGGCCATCACTGAACTGAAAGTTCCAGCAGAACACATTTCCTTTAGGCTTTTAGGATTTCCATTTAGGGTTGGATTCAGAGCAYAGCAATCTTCATTGACCATTCTGTGGTGGCTGATTTTTGGTTGATTTTCTTTTTAAGCTTTTTACATCGACATGATGAAGCTTTCTCAACAGAACCTCTGAAAAACAATGGCCGAGGGACTCCCCTTGGGTTTTACCATGTTCAGAATGTAAGTAAAGCTTTCTTTTGGTGATGTCAGCACTGGGAGTTGTGTGTGTTCTTCAAGGGAAATTAAGAACAGACAATAATAGGAGTGATCAGGTGAATGATGTCATCCCTACTGCAAAACAAAAGACAGAGTGATTCTTTGTGGCAAATTTAACTCTTCTCTTTCACCTCTACTTCCTGCCATTGAATTCTGTATTTCCTTTCCAGGATGTTCAATGAAAACAGTCTGGAGTTCAGGAAATAAAAYAGATGTTTGAATAGGAATGTTCACMATSTCAGATGAACTGGATATATCTGTTTTTATGGACTCTGTTATCCTTTGGTTATGTACAGCCTCCTCTTCTCTTGCTGGAATGTCTGATATTGAGGCTTTCATTTTCTCCTTTAGTGGAGAGTAGAATTAATGCCTAAGCCAAAAGGGAATGCTTTTACCATGAGTGACACTAAGTGGTATGAAAAATACAGACTCCTAGAAGAGATTTCCTTTTTGACTGCCTTATTTTCTTTCCACACTTTTGAAATAGATTGCTGTGGAAGTGACTGAATCGTTTGTGGAGTACATCAAAACAAAGCCCATTGTCTTTGAAGTCTTTGGGCATTATCAGCAGCATCCCCTSCACCTGCAAGGCCAGGATCTCAGCAGGTATTTGCTCACTGTTCAGGCACTTGGGGCTCATGCTCAGGTCGTGCCATCTTTTGTACTCCTGAGATTGTGCACCACACCCTCACMAGCAGAGTCCTGATGGAGGTGAAAGTGCTGGCAGAGGCCTCTTTGCCTGGTTCAGTGATTGATGGAATTATTCTGCCATCTCAAACATGGAAACCAGTTCACCTTGGCAGTCCCTSTGCACTGGGAATACTGGGAACTTCAGCAGTGAGCTCTGGGAAAACCTCAGCACTGCTCAGGATTGGTAAAGTTAGAACAGAAAAAGAGCAGAGCTTAGTCTGGGAAGGGTCTGAGCCCACTCGTTTTCCTGACAGGTGACATTTACCTGCCTTCATAGAATTGGGAGGATATTTTTGAGAGACAGAACTAGATGTGTATGCAGGGATGCAGTGTGTGCACATTTGTGTGTATTTTTTATGTTTAGCTGCCTCTGTATTGATAATTCTTCTCGTTTCTCCATAGCCCTCCACAGCCTTCTCGAAGATTCTTTCCTCCCCCTATGCCACTGTCAAAGCCAGGTGAGAGCAGCTCTCCAGTTCTGTACATCACAGGTTTTGTTCTGAAAATGGAGGTTGTAGTGTATTCCTGAGGTACCCAGGACATGGAGGAATTCAGTGGAGTGAGTGGTGCAAAGGGCATTCAGTCTGTCTGTGCTGGCTCTGCCCTCTTTGTGTGTTTATTTTTATTTCTTATCTCCCTGCAGAAAGTGCTGCTTGGTTCATGAGAGGGTAGAATTTCATTCCTGAGSTGTTGACCATATCCCATGAGATGAGGCTGTGGCTCTTTCTGTGCTTRCTGAGCACTTGACTGGAAATTTGCTTATTCATTAATCTTTTCATCTTTTTGCTCTCTCACATTGTCTTTAGTGAGCCATTTGTGTTGAAGTGATCCTTGGTTTTCTTTGCTTAATTGGAATAATGCATGCTGAACTTTTTTGTGGTTTTTTTTTCCAAGTCACCTTTAATTTCCTCCTTCTCCATCTTTCTTTCACCTGCACATTTCTCCCATCCTTTTTCTGTGTGTGTTCCATTCCTCTGCAGACCATGAAAGGAAGATTGAGTTGATTAGGTACCTTATGTCTGGCTATGTGAACGTGCATGTGCTGAACACGCTGTCTGAGCACGCCACCGTGCTGGCCTCCTCTGCTGTGGCTGCTTTCCAGGATGGAGCTGAGCAGCTGCCACCTTTTCTCTTTCTGCCTGTCCCCACTTGTCAGAGTGAGCGGGCTCCTAAACGAGATGGTTAGTAGCCAAGCTCTCTCATGGATGTAGAAGTAGTTCCAGAATGTGCTGCAAAATCCCTTTTTCCTTTCTCATGTAGTAGTAGAAGCTGCCATGAGTGTGGTCATGGAAGGATGATGCTGTGCCTAAATTTAGGGCTCTTTTAGAGAGAACCATGCAGTCTGTGGACTCCAGTGTGCTGGGAATCACAGATTTTTCTGTGTCAYTGCATCTGTTCCCTGAATCTTCTGAGACCCCTGATTTTTTGTGATCCTGGGATGAGAGATGCATATGAAAACACAGCCAGGTGCTTTAGAGGAAACATTCTGCTGTGTTCTAAATAGGTTTCCTTTTCACTCATCTTCCTTTTCTGCCACTAACAGTGCTGTTCCTCACTTCCATTCATATTCTATTTTATTTACATAAAAAAGATCATGCTGGTTATTGATTATGCCAGAGCAAGTCAGTGAGAATGTCTAGAACCAAGCTTTAATTTTAGTTAAGTGTGTCATTCTGTTGTTTCTCTCTTCTGGTGCTTTTGAGCCTCTCTGCTTAGCAATGACCTGAGTGATTTGTGTGTGTGCTGTTCCTCTGCTGTAGTGAGTTCATGTGCAGCTGCAGGGGGTGGTTGGGTGTAAGAATTACAGCCCTGAGTGAAGGGTACACGGAGGAGTGAGGGTGGGAGAGCCTGAAGAACATCTGAGCAGGGGAAGGTTGGGAGAACAATTATTTGGCTTAATAAAAGCAGTGATGTTAGTGTGTGAAAGCAGAAAAAAAATGGAAAATCAATTGCAGAGTTAGAAAAATCCCTGTCAGAGTATACATGAGCTACTTTTAGAGTGTTCCCATTTACAAAAATGTAATGAGATAAGAGAAGGCATGTAATGATAACTAAAAAGTATAATGTGAGTGTATGGGAGGGAGTGTTAGGTTATTCCTAAAATTTAAACTATCCCATTATTTTTTAACATGATTTATCCTACCTTTGTATGAAAGCAATTAAAGAGGATCTGGCTTGTAATAATCACTAATACCAAGAGATAAGGAGCCCAGAAACGTACTTTGGCAGGATTAAGGCTCTGGACTAATTCTTGTTCAGCCTTTTTACTTACACAGTATCTTTTCCAAGTGGTGCAGGAGTCTGGCAGTTTGTAACATGAAGAAGTGAAGACTGAAGTTTTAAGTTCTATTTTTTCTCCTGTATAGGGMAGGTAAAATGTTCTTTATGGGTGAGTAATGCTGCAGATGAACTGAGCAATTCTAGATCACAAACTGCTAAGCCATAAAGCAACTGATGAGCATTTGAGGAAGCTTCTTTCACGTTCCTGTGAACCCCAAGTAAGCTTTACTTGTTCAGTTTTTGTAAACAAKCCTTTTTTTCTTCTTTCTTTTTTTCCTTTAAGTGCCAGCTACAAAGCTGAATACCATGAGCAAGCCCAGCTTGGGCCAGAGTGTGAGCAAATACGACCTCCTCGTGTGGTTTGAGATCAGTGAACTGGAGCCAACAGGGGAGTAAGTCCTGTATTAATATTTGGTGTTTTGAGAACAGTGGTTTATGAGATTTTGGGGTTTTTTTTTCCCCTTTGTTCAGACCATGCTGATATTTAGCAGTTGTGATGGGTGGGGGCCTGGCTGGTTTGTGGTGATGGGRTGTCAAATCTGCTGGCATTAGGTGTCCCATGGGAAGGACCAAAGTGATGGAGTGACATTCTTTCATGTCTTTCCACTGTGAAATTCCAGGCACAGCAGCTGAACAAGTGCCTGGAAAACTTAAACCTTGTGTGGGCCATGAGTTTGGATTCTTTAGGACACTGGAGACTTTATCCTGCAGAAGTCCCAGAGCAGGCCCTGTTTTGTGTTCATCTCTGCTAGAAAGAAGGCTTTCCCTGGCAGGTCTTTAGGGATTATGTTGAGAAGGGAATTGCACAGAGTTTTCTGTAAGTCTTCTGCAAGTACACAGAAGCTGCTGTGCTGATTGTTGCTGTTGTTCACTGTCTCCCCCAGGTACATCCCTGCTATTGTGGATCACACGGGGGGCCTGCCCTGCCAGGGGACCTTTCTGCTCCACCAGGTACTGCAGAAAGCTGAGGGACAGCAAATGCCATCCCTGCAGGGAGGGAGGGAGGGGATGCTCTCCTGTTTGCCTCTCCTGTTTGCCTCTCCTGTTTGCCTCTCCTGTTTGCCTCTCCTGTCCCAGCTGGGCAGTGACAGTGCAGGGTCGGGATCTCTCAGGCTGGGCTTGGCTCTGCTCTTTGGGCTACCAGGAGATGGTTTGGACCCCAGGATTTTGCTGTCCACGTTGTTTATCACTGGGCACCCCACTCATGGAAGAAGCAGGAACCTYTGGGTCCGGATTTGTGCCCTCAATGTTCTCTGACATCTCTCAAGGGCACAGAAGGACCCTGGGGACTCAACTTCMATTTGCTCTCTCTCACTGCACGTGGTTGTGCCACATAATCTGTGAAGTGACTGTACCTCAGTGCATCTTAAAATGTCTCTTATAATTCTTAATAATAATTTGTYTTTAGCCAGATTATAAAGATAATCCTAACTAAATACGGTTTATAGGCTTAAAGTTGTGTTTCTCTTACTCTGCCTTTGTCAGTGAGGAGGGGAAGCATTTAATTTCTTTCACATATGAGAATATAGCATCCCTTCAAAGTGGATTTTAGGGCCCTGGAAGAAAGAGGTGTTTGTTCAGTTGCAGACTGGTTTAAATGATCTTATTTCCCTTCCCTTGTGCAGTGTAAGTGCAGAGCAGATGATGTGTGTGTTTGTGAATGTTTCAGCAGTGTTTTGTCTCTGATCTCTGCCAGGGGATCCAGCGCAGGATCACAGTCACCATTATCCACGAGAAGGGCAATGAGCTGCACTGGAAAGATGTGCGAGAGCTGGTGGTTGGTGAGTAAATGGTGCTGGATCTCGCTCTGTAAGGAAGGAAGATTATTATTGGCAATTTCTCTTTGTGTCAGATTCTGTCATTTTTATGAGCATTGCCTGTGAGAWGAGGATTTTGAAAAAGATCGAGAGGAAGAGCTTGAATTTTACAACTTCCACTTTCAACACTTGTTAATCTTGTAGTCTGAAATGATATTTGGGAGAACAAATTCCTTTTGTATTGCAGGTTGAATTTTAATTGATTCCTCCTCCTCTTTYCAGGGCGTATAAGAAATAAAGCAGAGGTAGATGAAGCTGCTGTGGATGCCATTCTGTCTTTGAATATTATCTCTGCAAAGTACCTGAAGTCCTCTCACAGCTCCAACAGGTAAGGGACTGAAGTGAGCACTCCAGCAGGAGTCTGAAATGGTTTGATGTACTGGCAGGATGTTTGGAAAGCTGGGAATGTGACTGATTATTGAATGTAGAATTCCATGGGCACAGGACACACAGACAGAGAATGAATGTCACCCTAAATTCTTGGTGATGCTGARATCTGTTGATCTCTGTAGGGTTTCCTGATGATGCATCTGAATTGCTTTCCATGTTTATGGACCATAAAGGGAGAATGGAAAGGAACAGCTTAAGGGAGCCTCAGGATTTAACCCAAAACTTCTAAACTGCCATTAAGGTTTGGTGCTGGAATACAGCACTAAAGTACAAGGATGGTTTTGGGAGATGGTGGAATGGGGTTGGGGCCCTGCTGAGGGATCTGTCTTATGTTTGCTCATTGTCTGCAGACTTGTKTGCTGTGGGGTTTTTTCACTTGGTTTTGTTCTTTTATGTCCACTTGTTCTGTTCCTCTCAGCTGTTGCTTTTGTGTTGTGCTTTTGGCTGCACTAACCAAAGCTCTTTCTATGTTTTACAGGCTCTTTCTTGATAAGGATATGCCTAGGTATTTTCTGTTTGCTTCCTTTGTRCATAAAGGTTCTTGAGAATAGAATGCTTTATGGCCCATTTGCATTGCTGCCACTTTYCTCTTAGCTTTACTGAATTCTCTTAGCACACCTCTTAGCTCTTCCAGAAGTAGCATTCCTCTTCCTCCTCCTTTTCCTCCTCCTCCTSTTCCTTTGTGTCAGAGGTTCACTCAGGTACAGTTCATGGGGGACTTGTGAAGGTGAACTTTCCTTCTTCACATGTAAGAGAATTGTCTTTCTGGTTCTCTTAATGTGCCATCAAATCTAGACCGTTTTTGTAGTCCCTGCTATTTTCCTCCTTTGTTCTGTATCAAAGAACTAAATTTGGAATTGCTCACTGTCTCTGGCTGTGGTGGTGCTGGTTTGAAGTGCCAAGCCAAGGGCTGAATGCTGTTACCTGAATTGCCCTGCTCAGATGGCAGTGATGCTGTTCAGCCTCAGCTCTGGGCTGGGTTTGCATTGAAGTTTAACCCTGTGGTTGTCACTCCTCAGTTTAACAGCAGCCAGAGGTGCCAGATGTGCAGTGGGGGCTCAGGTTGGATTCCTGGTTCACCTTCCCARAGGGATCACAGGGAAATCAGGCTGCACAGTCTGGGCCCCTTTGCACTCTGCTTTCTGTGCTCTGCCTCTGCAAAACCTTCAGTGCTCCAATTCACCACCTTTCACTAATGCTAAGATCAGGTTTAACTACAATTGTTATCAGAAAAGGGAATTCTTGGGAGCTCTGAGATCAGAGCTCTTTGTTTCTGCCACGTCTGTTCTTAGGCTGTTTCGTGTTTCTTTTTGTTTTGCTTTGTATTTTGTTATTTCTTCTACCCCTTCCCTGCTCTTTGTCCTTTGTCATTMATTTCATTTTCTGTTTTTCCAAGTTAGGAATTAGTACAGAAACTCTTTAGAGAGATAACTTACTTTAAAAAATAATATACATGAAGCACTTTCTTGCTTTCAGTATCACATCATTTGGATTCAAAATGGGATAAAAAACAGTGAGAGGATTTGGGAGGGAAATTATTAAATAGAGGTGATGAAGAATGAACACCTTCTGTTCCAGTTACCAGTGTGGAAAGGTTTGGGAGTTCCTGAACAGGGGCCCAGGCCTTCTTTCCAAAGGGCCCTGCCTGAAATCAGTCCCTGCTGTGCAAAAGGAGAAAGCTCCTTTCCCTCAGCCCTGCTGGAGAGGGGAGAGTGCCCTGATCTTTGGATGTGAATTGTGGATCTGTGCTCTGGGTGATTCTGTCTCACCTTTTACCTGAACCTTCTGGATTGCTGGGGTAGAACTGAGGGAGCTTTCAGCTCCTCTCTTTCCAGGTACCAAACTGAAGAAACCTCTTGAAGTTGGTGTTGGATCTGCAAGTTTTCACTTGAAGCAAGTAGGACACAGAAAGATTATAGGACTTAACCCACCTACCAATCATCCTCATTAGCTGTCAGAAGCTGCTGGTTTTATAAGRCTGGTACTTAGAGGGATCTCTTCTGTAGCTCTTGTTAGTCCAAAAATATTGTGTGGAGTGTTGCTTATAAAAAAGAATCCTCCCAAGCACTTCTGAGGTCCAGCTGGGCTGAATTGCMCCTGAAGCAACAGAGATGAATTTTCTGTTTAGAAACAGTTGTTCAGTGTTGCCTTCTCTGTAGTGCTGTGAGAGGTTTTGTTTTCTGCATTCCCTCTTTTCTCTCTTAGATGAGTCTTTTTCATAACAGGTGATGGTCTCTTACATGACACTGTTTGAGACAGAAGTAAATAATTTTGGMAATGAAGAGAAGGTTTTTGCTTCAAGTGTGTGTCATCCACGTCACTGGAGGATGATGTTGGGGAAGAGGCTTTACACTGAGTGATGAGAGGGAAGCACAGGAACTTTTACTATTGAGCTTTACTGTCCTTTTTTCCAGGACTTTCTACMGGTTTGAGGCAGTTTGGGATAGCTCCTTGCACAACTCCCTCCTCCTCAATCGAGTGACACCMTATGGAGAGAAGATCTACATGACCCTTTCTGCTTACCTGGAGGTGAGTGCCTTCTCCTGGCTCTGAAATATCTGACACCGTGTGCACCTGAAAGAAATAGATTCTAAAGTGATTTGAATCCTGAAGCCAGGAAAAGTATTTATTCATCTTCTGAGAATTTACTCACAGTTAACATTTTAATGTCAAGGTATCACTACCCTGCAACACGAGAGAAATGGGTGACCTTACCTTTCTGTGCCTTGTTTAATCGATGTATCTGAAAATCCTCTGAAATCTGTGAACCTTGCTGTGCAGGTGCTGATGTTACAAACAGTGGCTGCTCTTGGCTTTGTGTTGTTTTGTGTAGCACCATGGTTTCACTCATGAGATGCATCAAGAAATGTGATAGTTCAGTTGCAGTTCTCTTTCAAGGAGCACATATGAAAACCCCTCAGCAAAGACCAAACAGAAGGAATTTCAAAGCTGAGGGCAGCAGTGTAACTTGGCAGAGTTGGCTGCAGCCATCACTCCTTTCTGCTGTTCCTTTAGCTTGACCACTGCATCCAGCCTGCTGTTATCACCAAGGATGTGTGCATGGTGTTCTACTCCCGGGATGCCAAGATCTCACCCCCCCGCTCCCTGCGCAGCCTCTTTGGCAGCGGCTACTCCAAATCTCCAGACTCGTGAGTTCACTCACAATTTTGCTATTGATGTTTTCTGTCAGTATTTCTGTTTKCTCTTAGAGAATGTAGTTTAGTTTTCTTTATTTCTTACTTGAAATTCTACCTACTCACAGGTTCTCCAGTCTGGTTTTGAAGGTTCTTTCTTGCATTTATTTCAGTGGAACTCTGATGGTTTCTCTCTTTACTGACCTCTTTTCCAGTTGGGAAGAGGGATCCATTTTTCAAGCTTGCACACAGATGACCCTGATCCTGACCTGGAATTTACTGCAGCAACTGCTCTCCAAGTCCAGTGCAGGGTGGGGGGAAACATGGGGGAAATGCCATTTTTGGGGATCTTGCAGTTTGTCCTGGCTGTTTCGTGCAAGAGTAGAACTGAGATCTAGTTCTAACTAAGAACTGTACTTAAAATTCCACTTTGGGAACCACTGAACTAAAACTGAAGCACTTTATTTGAGAAGATAATCAATAGTGTGCTTTTGTTTCTTCTGCTTTCCTATGAACAGCAATCGAGTGACTGGAATTTATGAACTGAGTTTGTGCAAAATGGCAGACACAGGAAGTCCAGGTAAGCAGTGATTTGGGGGTTCCAGTGATAAATACAAAATACTGCAGAGAATTTCCAAGGCAGAATGGAATAAACATTTCTGCCCTGATGGGAAGCAGTTCCTGTGTTTCATAAGAGCAATGGAACGTTGCTGTTCCCTAAAAAACTTACTCAGGCTTTTACTTTAGACTYAGGCCTGTGTTTACCATTGAGGATTCACTGGAAACTTGATGTTTTCTAACAAAAATCTGGGTAACTCAGGAAACTGAGCTCATGAACCTGAGTTTTAGACTGAGGGGCACAATCCATGGCTCATAACACTTGAGACTGGGTTTTGCAGCATTAGAGCTTTTTCTTGTCTTTTGAAGATGTTGCTGATATTTGATGCAAGCTTCACCATTTGGAAGGAATGTAGTTCATGGTGTATCTGTGTATTTTTCTTCTAAAATGTAGAAACACAAGAAATTCTTGTGTTGAATTAGACTGAGCAGGAGTTTGCATTATCTTGGCCAATAGGAAATACCTGAGTGAAGTAAGAARACAGGACTAAATCAAATATCTTTGGTTGTGTATTTGCAGTTAAATCCTTGTGTTGTGTATTTCCAGCCAAAGAGCAGAAATGCTGGTTCTGTGCTAATTGCTGATTGTTTGGGGGTGAATCCCTCTGGCTGTGGTTTTAACACGTCTGCTGGTGTTTTTGACTGCTCAGGAATGCAGCGGAGGAGGAGGAARGTTCTGGACACCTCTGTGGCTTATGTGCGTGGAGAGGAGAACCTGGCAGGGTGGAGGCCCAGGGGTGACAGCCTCATTCTAGAGCACCAGTGGGAACTGGAGAAACTGGAGCTGCTGCACGAGGTGAGTGAAGAGACCAAAGTCAGCACTGAAATAACTCACCCAGCAGACAAGACACAAAGTGTGTGGCTGGCTGCTGAGTAGAGTCTGCAGCTCAGAATCTCAGTGGATTCAGCAAAGGCAAATTCCATTTCCAGTGCCATTGTAAACTCCCTTCCCTGGGGAAAATTCCTGGTGTGAATATTAAAAGGATTGCTAAGAATTCAGCGGACGACGGCGATTTCTTCTCTTGCCAGGTGGAAAAAACCCGACATTTCCTTCTGCTCCGTGAGAAGCTCGGTGACAGCATCCCCAAGTCCCTGAGTGACTCCCTGTCCCCCAGTCTGAGCAGTGGCACTCTCAGCACCTCCACCAGCATTTCCTCTCAGATTTCCACCACCACCTTCGAGAGCGCCGTGACACCGAGCGAGAGCAGCGGCTACGACTCGGCAGACATCGAGAGCCTGGTGGATCGGGAGAAGGAGCTGGCCACCAAGGTGGGATGGGAGCAGAGAGGTGACA